AAGATATCTCACAATCAGTGCTTGCTTTTTATTGAAGGGTTCGTAAGATGACGAAGATACGATCGTTTTTGAGAGTAGTGTTTTGAAGAGATACGAGCAGATACAGCTAGAGATCATACTTTGGATTTTGATTCATTGTAGCCAAACTGTTTGCAAAAACACCAAACAAAAACTGTCAATGAAGTTGTTTAACATTTCATAAAGAAAAACTGACGAAACCGTCTTAAAACACTTAAAACAAGACGTTACACTTTTACATTTTTTGGTCTGCCTATAAATTGACTCCATCAACGAACCATTCATCGAAACGAACCCATGAAACAGATTTCTGAATGGGTATATCTGATCAGATATCATATCAGATAAAGGAATTCCTGATAGGATTAGAAGTTCAAATACAATCAGTTCAGTCTTGAATTCAGTCCTAATTTTCTTGATATTCTTCCATTAGTGATGCTTCACGTATGACCTTTCAAATGAAAGGAAGAGTACGAATAACAACAAAAACTATTCATATGTTCCAAATGAAACCAGTCAAATTGAACGCATCATCATCGTCATCGTATAAAAAATCCTCTGCAGATGTATCACGCGATTGGAGTGATCATGCTTTGTGGTGGCCTGAGAAACGAAAATGGCTAACGCACACTCGTAGCACACTCGATCAGATGGGCATCACTGCAGACAGCCAACTTGAATTCACACCTCAGCATAAAATAGCGAGGTGATTGATTTTTCAACAGCTGATCACTTGAATATCGCTGAGCCTGCACCAAATCAGCGTTTGATTCCATTTCACCATAATTATCCTGAATGATATCCACTCATTTCTCCATTTCAATCCCATTACTGATAATTAGCAATTGCGGATCGTTGAATCGACAGCAAAGCGAAGGAAAATACCGAAATTTCCAATTGAAATTAAAGAACAAATACGAAAGTTCCACTTATATTCTCTTTGTAAAGTTTTCACACACAGACACAAATAAATTTTTAAGAGTTCAATTGCCCGATTTGCAAATGATCGACGCCAGGCTCGACTTTTCAGTGAACATCGTTAGAGCCACACAACAGCTTTGCAGAGAAATTGGTTCGTTCTCAAATTATCCACATATTAACGATTCATTCAATTCGAACACAAGCTTTTGGAAGTGTGGTACTGATTGAGAATCGTAGACAAACCAAGAAAACTTTCT